TGAACGGTTTTTCATGAAGTATAACCAAGTAGTTCGAGAATAATCATCTACAAACGTAACAAAATACTTAAAACCAAACTTAGACGTTACAGGACATGGGCCCAGACATCAGAATGTACTAATTGAAATGGGGACGCAACCTGCTTATTGACTCTAGGACTTAAGTGAACACGTTGATGTTTGGCAAACTGACATGACTCACATTGTATATACTGTAAATGGGAAAATTCAGGACACAACTTCTTGAGACTCTGTAAGGAAGAATGACCTAGTCGATAATGAACTTCAAAAGGAGATGATGAACTAGAACTTGCCAAGGAATATGGTTTGGGTGGTTCAAATATGTATAGGCCATCTGACTCCCGTCCTCTACCAATAATTATCTTAGTCTGCAAATCCTGAAAGACACAATGATCAGGAAAGAATGAGACACTACAATTCAAAGTGCGAGTAATTTTGCTCACAGACAGTAAGTCAAAAGAAAATTTTGGTAGGCTCAAGACTGAGGATAACGAGACAGATGGGGACAATTTAACAGTGCCAGACCCAATTATTTGGGAGACAGATCCATCAGCTACTGTGACTTGATCTGAGGATGCATGTTTATTGAAATTTAGGAGAAGGTTGGAATTACCAGTCATATGGTCTGAGGCACCTGAATCAATGACCCATTTGGAGGAGGATGATACAAAGCATTTGCCAGAGTTACCTGTCTCAGCAAACATAACAGTGGAAGCAGCGGGGTGCTCATTTACCAGACGAGTACTACCGGAGGTTTTATCATCAGTGTTTATCATATTAATCAAATCAGAAACGAACACCCAAGGGACAGATTATCAAAGGAAACCAGACTAAACATATAGCAATTAACAGAGTTTGACCAAATAGATGAGATCAGATCTGTTGCGAGTAGACAACAACAAAATTAGACCAAAAAGATGTCGGAAAACAAACCAGATGGGGATTCCGACCAGAACCCTAAAAGTCGAAGGTCGTCGGAGGCCGGAAAAGGGCTCGTGACGGTGGCGGACTAGGGTTCCGGCAACGGCGGGGGTTCCGGCGTGAACAGTAACTCCGATGTGAACAGTAACTCCGAAATAAATCTCCTTATGAAGCCTTACATGGTATCACACCTTTTTACGATCTTCTAAAAGTATGGGGATGTGTGTTTTGTTCTACTCCAACCTCATGAGCCTACCAAACTTGGTCCTCGTTCTCGCGTTTGTTGCTTCCTTGGTTACGATATCGAACATAAAGGACATCGATGTTGGGATCCAGTCTGTCACGTATATCTCATCGTGTCATATTCTAGGAAGATCAAATGTCCTCCTCTGTTTCAAAATTCAAAGTTCAATCCGACTCTGCCTCCTCCTTTCTTCATGGACATCTCTATTCCTTTATCAGTTGATTCACCATTATTTCCTACACCATCCAACATAGATAAGACCATCACTCACTCTTTTGATCCCTCATACCCGTCTGAATTATCTGAGTTACCTAGGACATTTGTCCAACCTCTACTCTTATTCCACCTTCTATGTCCAATCCTGATCCGTCTGTAAGTCCTGAGGGTCCAACTACAGCTCCTTTGGACATGCGTCGTTCTCATCGGGTAAGGCAAGTCCCTAATCACCTTTATGATTATAGTTATTCCACTTTATTCACATCTCACTCTCTTACTTCCTAAAGGGAAGCCTCTACCGATCCTCTTTGGCAGCAAACTATGTCGGAAGAACTGCAGGCACTTGACAAAGCTCTTACTTGGAGAATTGTCCCTCTACCTTCCGATCAAGGAATCATTGTCTCGAAATGGGTGTACAAGATCGAAACCAAATCAGATGGATCCATAGATCGTTTTAAAGTCTGACTAGTCGCCAAGGGGTGTAGTCAAGAGTATGGGATTGATTATGAAGAGACATTTGCACCCATTGCAGAGTCACTTCCGTTTGCAGTTTTATTGCCATTGTTTCTGCTCGCAAATGTCCACTTTTTTAGATGAATATCAAGAATGCTTTTTTGAATGGAGATCTTTCTGAAGTTGTGTATATGAAGCCCCCTCCTGGGTTCCTCATTCCCCTAATCATGTGTCACCTCCGTAAGGCTCTCTATGAGCTTAAGCAAGTATCCTAGGCATGGTTTGAGAAGTTCATTACTACTATTTGCTCACTAGGGTTTTCCGCTAGCAATTATGACTCCAGTTTTTTTGTTACCAAATCTACTGATGCAAGTACTATTCTTCTCTTCTTATATGTTGATGATATGATCATTATAGGAAGTGTTTACATGGTATTGATGATTTAAAAGAGTCTCTATATCAACACTTTAAGATGAAAGATTTGGAACCGCTTCATTGCTTTCTTGGCCTCGAGGTTTTGACTGGTATCTATTTGTGTCGAGCTAAGTATGCCTCTGATTTCATCTCTCGTGTAAGTATCACTGACAAGAGGATTTCTTCTACACCTCTTGAGCTCAATTTCCGGCTCACACCCGGTGATGGCTCTCCTCTCCCAGATCCTACATTATATCACCAGTTAGTTGGTTATCTTGTCTATTTGACTATGACATGACCTGATCCAACCGTTGATGATCATGTCGTTAGTCAATTCATGGCAGCTCCACGCACTTCTCATTATGCTGCGGTTTTGAGAATTCTGAGGTAGATCAAAGGTACCATGTTTCACGGCCTACACTTCTCATCATCATCGCTTATTCTTCATGCCTTTTCTGATGTTGATTAGGATGGTAATGTCACTGATCGCCGGTCAACCATCGGTTACTATTTCTTCCTTGGTGATTCTCTTATTTTTTGGTACAGCAAGAAGTAGTCTCTTACTGCTCTTGCTGACACCACACAGGAATACTATGGTTATGATGGCTCTTATCGGGTATGGGTGCGCCTCGGTCATCTCCTACTGTTATCAGATGTGACAATCGCGGTTTTATTCACATTGCTCACAATGATGTGTTTCATGAGCGCACTAAACATATTGATATTGACCGTCATTTCACTCGTCAACATGTAGTCAGCAATATTGTTCGCCTTCTTCAAGTCCCCTCCAATGACCAAACCGCGGGTGTCTTCACCAAAGCTCTTCTCCCTGGTCTCTTCTCAAGTGCCGTTCATGAACTCAGGTTGATTTCTCGTGATCCACCTTGAGTTTGAGGTGGGTGTTAGCTATATATGTAAATATCCATAGTTCAGGACCGTTCTTGTTATTAGCCTATTGTTAATAGGCTTTATATAGTTTTCTCTTTCTTTTTTCTCATTAAGAGTAGACCTAGACTTCTTCACGCTTACTGTATCTTCACCTTTAATATTCAAAACACAGGTAATGGGTTTCACCTTTAACGTCCAACAATAAATTATCAATGCTAACAATCCACAATACATTCAACAAGTAAAGAGGGATAGAGCGACACTGGGATATTTACGGGAAAACCCAAATCGAGAAAAACCACGAGCGGAGGATGCCGAGAACTGATTCACTGTATCGAATTATGCGTACAATCTTGAAGAATGATGAACACTGGTGATTACTAATAGATACTATAGAAAGGTATGATACTCTAGATACCAAAAAAGGACCCCTAAAATGGAAATGGAACCTGTTTGGGGCGTTGTATGACCTGGAAATGACTTCAGGTCGCATGCTACAGCTCGTCCAGTTCCAACAATATTAGCTCCATGCAAGATAGACAACTCACAGACCCAACTTGCTAATCAGATTAAGTTAAATCAATTCACATCTTACTTGCATCTCCAAGTCAGAAAGATCTGTATCGTAAGGTTTCCTCAGCACCGTCAGCTTGCCCATGCAGCTTGAAGTCGAGCCTAGAGCAAGTAACATGGAGGATTTAAGGCACACAAGTCTACAAGATAGGAAACAAGACCCTCTATGTTAATCTTGACTGATCTCCAATTACAGGTCTGTTCTAGGTGGTGTTTTAGTTTTCAGCGTTTTCTGTTCATGCCGACGCTAGACCATCTCACACGTTTTCGCATGTGATTATCTACCGTGCCAACCTTGTCTCATATATCTGTCATTTTCTTTGTTGTGAGAAACATGACTACCTCAAAAGCAAGGGGAAACTGCATCTTTGTCTCTTCTTTTTTGATGATCCTAGTTATAGACTTTTGATTGTATATAGAATGTCATATACTGTTAATATTACTTGATAATTTGTTAATCTATTCGTATCAATAATTTCTTAAATTTGTGCTATTGATTGTTACCACAGATGTTAAGATGATGTAATGCATTCAATGTTTTAAATACATGGGCCTCTATGCCATTTTCAATAACTCTTTCGATGCTTGGTCCATTTCACTCGAGTTGTGTAAAATAATGTCTATTGACGGCCAAAGACTTTTCTATTGAGTAGGTCCTGATGCAAGCTTTTGGAAGCAACAGTTCCTTATCTAAATGCACTTAAAAAGTTGCAGTAAAGACCACATAACGAAGTTGGCGACAAGAGAACCGTAAGGTAGCTGAAATATGAGGTAATTATTCATACTGTAAGCCATTTAATATCATGTCTACATCTTAATTAAATATGTGGTATGAAGGGAAATTAATGATTTCTGATTTTATTGGTGTTGTTTGTCTGATTGTCTGTTTCCCTTCACATACAATTAGTAATGCTGATATCCAAACAGCTTAATCATGTATACATGGTAGTTGGTTTGATTTGTTGTGGATTAATGTTTATATGATTCTCTTAGATCTGCATTGTTTCTTACGGAATCGAGGAGGGAGAATTACATAAATATCATAGCTTATGGGAACATTGGATGAGGGGTATGACCAGGCCCGGCCCTTGGCACGTGCAGCCCGTGCGGCCGCACAGGGCATCAAAGCCCAAAGGGGCATCAAATTTTTTATATAGACTATATTATTAGTTTTTACTTTTTGGCCTTTTAACTCTTTGGATTTAAAAATTACAGACTTGGGCTTTAAAACTTAAACAAGCCCAAAACCAAGATTGAATTGGACTACTGGACCCCTCATTTGACGGTCGATGCCTTTGACGTTCACCATCGCCGCTGCGCTTGCTGTTCGCACAATCGGTCAATCGCACTTCCCCAATCCCCATTCGATTAATCGATTCTTTTGAGTTTGCCTAACGAGCGAGACGTTCCGATTCCAGAGGCATAGGCGCATAGCCGCAGGGGATTACTTAGGCAACGGTAAGGCAAGGCAACGGTAACTTCTCTATTCTCTAACGGGCAAGGGCGCAAGGCAAGGGCAACGGTTGTGACGCTATGTTTATGGCCTTGAATCGAGGAGTTGACGCGACCGATGATTGGTTACTGCCGAGTGTCGACTGCCATCTGTTCGTCGTGCTCGAGAGTGGTAACTCAGTAACTGGTAAGTCCCCTTCCTACTCTCCACTATATATACATGTATACTAGAGTCTCAAAGTCTCACTTTCCCACATTCTATGATTCTAAGTTCTAAACATATTATTAGATGTTTCATGTTTGAGCATATGTATATGTACCACAGTACCAGATTGTTAGATACTTAGATTTAATGATTAATGATTTGTTTATCAAATCTTAATCCTTCAATTCATTCTTCAAATTTGAAATCTAGATTAATAGTAGATACAATCATACAGCTAATTGGAGGCTTGGATTTTGCCATTTTGGAATTGGAAGTCCGAAGTTGTCAAGTTGGGACTGTTGAACAAGTCTGGATTGGAATTTGGAAGCAGGGCCAAGTCTTCAAGAATGAGTCTTCAAGTTGGAAAGGAAACATGAGCTTAATCCAGGTTCTATCATTCTATGCTTGTTGCTTACTTGCTTGACTATTGCTTGGATATTTGTTGCTTGTTTTTCATAAGATATTAGACATGTTTCCTAGATCACAACCATCAGGTGCACAAAATAGAAAAAGAAAGAAAAGACAACAAGAAATTGCCCAATCTTTACAGGGATCGTTAAATCGATATTTTGTTAGGCATGAAAATGTGTCTGAAAATCCCATTGAAAATGTGCCTGAAAATCCCATTGGAAATGTTTCTGAAAATCCCACTGAAAATGTTTTTGAAAATCCCACTGAGAATGTTTCTGAAAATCCCAATGATTTTGTTGAAAATATTRAAAATYTGTGTACTAATGAAGTTGGGGACGATGAAAATCCATGTAATGATGAAGTTMCTTTGAATATTTTTGATCCAAGGGTTTGGGATGATTTAGATTCAAAAATGAAAGATTTAGTTGCTGAAAAAGGGCCTATAAGGGAAACCAACATCAACTTTCCAAATGATAAAATAGGTAGACACTTTTCTTGTGAACATTATGTCCGTAATTTACGAAATGGTGATTCTTATGATAGAAAATGGTTTGTTTATTCAAAAGAGTTGGATAAAGTTTTTTGTTGTAAGATATTGAAAACTGCTTGGTCTAGAAGTCAATTAGCTACCGAAGGGATAAATGATTGGAGACATTTAGGTGAAACATTAAGTTTGCATGAAAATAGTTCTGAGCATATGATTAACTTGAGAACTTGGACTTAGTTGCGAGTGAGATTGAATAAAAATCAAACAATTGATAAAGAATTACAAGAATTGATTAAGAAAGATACAGATCATTGGAAAGAAGTTTTGATTAGAATAATTGCTATTGTGAAGTGTCTAGCACAATATAATTTGGCTTTTCGTGGATCAAATGAAAAAATTTATCAAAATTCTAATGGGAATTTTTTGGGTATACTTCAAATGATTGCGGAGTTTGATCCTGTCATGAAACAACATTTTCGGCTAATTAAAGACAAAGAAACTCATTATCATTATCTTAGCCATAAAATTCAAAATGAACTGATTCAATTGTTGGCATCTGAAGTTAAGAGTGTGATTATTAAAAAAATCAAAGAGGCAAAGTATTTTTTCCGTAATTCTTGATTGCACTCCTGATGCAAGTCACAAGGAACAAATGACTTTGATTATTAGATGTGTTGATATGTCGTGTGCTCCCATAAGTGTAGAAGAGTTCTTCTTAGAATTTTTGGTTGTAGAGGATACATCTGGTTTAGGTCTCTTCACTGTGTTACAAAATGTTTTAAAATCTCTAGATTTAAACATTAATTGTGTGCAAGGACAAGGTTATGATAATGGATCTAATATGAAAGGAAAACTCCAAGATGTTCAAAAAAGATTGCTTGATGTAAATCCTAGAGCATTTTATATGTCATGTGGTTGCCATAGTTTTAACTTAGTTTTGTGTGATATGGCAAATTCTTGTCATAAAGCAAAAACTTTTTTTTGGAACATGTCAAACAATATACAATGTGTTTGCTAATTCTACTAAGCGATGTAATGTTTTACTTGAGTTTATTGATGATCTACACGTTGGGAAAGTCATATAGAAAGTGTTAAAGCTATAAAAAGTCAATTTGCTCAAATAAGGGAAGCTTTGTTGAAATTATCTCAAGTTAGTGATGATGGAAAATTATGTAGAGATGTTGAATCTTTGGTAAATGGTGAACTTTCAAGTTTTGAATTTATTGTCAGTTTGGTTATTTGGCATGAAATTTTGTATATAATCAATTTAGTTAGCAAAAAGTTACAATCTAAAGATATGCTACTTGATGTTGCGGTAAAAAATTTAGAGGTATTGGTTTGTTATTTTGAGAAGTATAGGGAGACTGGGCTTACTTTTGCCATTATTGAAGCTAAACATATTGCAAATGAAATTGGAATTGAGCCTGAATTTTCGATAAAACGTTCTTATTTTAGAAAAAAACAGTTTGATGAGATTCCAAATACGGAAAGAGAACAACAATCTGCTCAAGAAACATTTAGAACTGATTATTTTCTCGTTTTGGTTGATATGGCTTTATCTCAATTGAAGACTAGATTTGAGCAAATGAAAATTTTGAATCGATTTTTGGTTTTTTGTTTGATGGGTCGAGGTTGGTTCATTTTAAATGATGAAGAATTGAAAAACTCTTGTATGAATCTTGAAGTTGCATTAACAAATGGTGATGATTGTGATATTGATGGGAAATATTTGTTTATGGAATT